CGAGCCTTCCGTATAGCCGATTTCAAAATAGCTCTGATATTCAGCTCCGTCCCAGTCATCAAGGTATATACCAAGCACACCATGTCAGGAGTAATGTCTTTGTAGTGGAGCCTCGGTATTAGACAGTTCATGACAACCTTCAACCAAACACGTGTCTCCCTAAGCATGTGAGCATAGGGAAGAGATTGGTGATATCTCTTCCCACTATGCTTAGTCCATTGTGACATCAATTGTGGACCGCACAAAGTATGTCTGATGGCCCGGTATGGATGGCGTATATTTAACCCTGTCAGCACTAGTGGGTCTGTATCTTGTGGTGTACCCAAGATTTCATTTATACTTGAGGGAGTGATAGGCACATTTCTTCCTCGTACCATCACATAATGGGATCTCGCCTCCGGCGCCCAGTTGGCGTAGAACTCGCTGACCATGTGCAAGTTGCACTCTTCCGGTTCGGCGAAGATAAACTCCATCCCTAGTTCCCTAATCCGCCTCAGATCAGTGGGAACTCATGCGCTAGACTATCCCTGTCAATACACACATCGAAGAAATAAGTGGCCTCGGTGTGCTTTTTATACCAAGGCTTGCCCTCCTTGTTGATAGATTTTACCCTAAACCACCTTGTTTGGCCCTTGGGAACTATAGGTGCAAGTGGTACATTCCACTCCTAACACGTTTCATAAGGCTAGATGTGGCCATTTCATTGCCGGGTCTTTGTGAGCTCGACATGATTACCTGCAAATATAACATAGTTCAACCCAAATAACCATCTAGTAATGATAAAAATATGGGTGGTGTGCACACACCACCCCACACTTAGTTCAATGCCGCCTTTTGCCTAGGTACTCAGACTTCCCATAGGCATACCCAAATAAACCATAGCTAAACACCCGAAACCGCATAATTCACACATTAAACACCACAATACTTCTACTCAAGAATTTGACACTATATTCAGCCAATTTGCTATGACAGCCTAATCCAAATGTGGCAGACAACTATTAGTGCTACTCAAGAATTCACACAATGACATTCAGCCAACACCACCAAATTTACGCTTCACAACATAGCCAAACAAACGTCCGCAATAACAACAAAACTCAGGCAAGACTGAGTGGAAGAAATTTACACTCCCAAAATACTCTAGACCTTTATGCAAGCAGAAATAAAGTAATGCTCCTAAAGATTTTGAACTTCCCAAGAAAAGTTTACACAAACAATCATGAACATGCCTAACCCACATATAGCACTCTATCAATTTTACTAAATCAACCAACAACAAGTATTCGAAAACACCCCATCACTTGAACATGCAATCTTCTTACTTTGCCCAAATATATTCAAAGCACCACACAATAGAATACAAACAATAACACAAAGATTTGCATATCAAAATGCCCAAAACTTTGCTGTAAAGAACGACAGAATACGTACCTTTGATCCTGGAGAAGAGTGAATTCGAGAGGGAACGATGAAAAGTTGCCTCCGCGTTATGGATTGATGCTTGAAAATCGTAAGGAAAGAGGGACAGGGAAAAATTATCGGGGTTTGGTGGGTGAAGTAGTGTGGATTGGCGGATGAATTTGGGGATTAAAAGAGAGTGGGTCAGATTATTTCTATTTAAAACGGGTAAAACCCGTTTAATTTAATGAAAGTCAAAAACCTTACCTGGGGGCGCGACGCGAAGCCTACACGGAGTCCTCTACTCGATCTGGAAAATTAATTCCATGTGAGGTCAATGCTCCGCGACGTGGCTCCTTCACGGAGTTGCCTTATTTTTGACGTAAACATAACTTACCGTCGAATTCAAAATTTGCACTTCCCTTGGCGACGCGGTTTCTTCACGGACCACTCTGCCTCGTTTTGGAAAATTAATTCCAAGAAAGGAATCCCTCTCTGCGATGCGCCAGCTACACGGAGCGGCCTTGGGAAAAATTCTTGCTTCCTGCACATTTTCAGCATACAACCCATTAGTTAAAACATGATGGGTTGCCTCCCATCCAGCGCCTTAGTTTTGGTCGTGGCACGACGCATATTTTTGTATTTTTTTTTTCTGAATATGTCCTTTTTTTCTTTTTTTACTAATTTCTATGAATTGAATTAACAAAACAAAACAAAAGAAATCCTAACTATTACAAGGGTTCACGAGTTGCCTCCCGTGTAGCGCCTGATTTAACGTCGCGACACAACCCATCTCATGACTTATTTGTCACTCAAAGTGAGCGCTTCAAGCTCAGGATCCATATCATTCCGAAAATAGTGCTTGACCCGTTGACCATTCACAAGAAAAGTAGAGCTCTTGTCCTTGTTCCTTAACTCCACCGCACCATGTTGGGTCATCCTCACAACTTCAAAAGGGCCACTCCATTTAGATCGAAGCTTTACGGGAACAACTTCAACCTTGAGTTAAACAACAACACTAATTGACCAGGCTCAAAGGTGCGTGTCACAATATCCTTGTCATACCACCTCTTGGTCTTTTCTTTGTACATCTTAGAATTTTCATAGGCATGAAGCCTGAACTCTTCTAATTTGTTCAGCTACGTTATTCTCTTCCTTTCGGCTAACTCAACATCCAGATTTAACTTTTTGATCGCCTAAAATGCCTTATGCTCCAATTCAGCTGGTAGATGACACGCTTTTCCAAACACCATTCGATAAGGAAAAGTCCCTATTGGTGTCTTGTACGCAATCTGGTATGCCCACAAGGCATCATCTAGCTTATCAACCTAGTCTTTCCTTTGGGAATTCACAGTCTTTTGGAGGATCTGCTTGACCTCTCTATTAGACACTTCCACATGCCTACTAGTTTGGGGATGATATGTTGTAGCTACCTTGTGTCTCACCCCATATTTAGCTAACAAATTACGCACTGAACTATTAATAAAGTGCGTACCTCCATCACTGATCATAGCCCTTGGAGTTCCAAACCTGGTGAAGATGTGCTTCCGGATGAATTTCACTACCACCTTTGAATCATTTGATGGTAATGCAACAGCCTCCACCCACTTGGATAGGTAGTCCACTGCGACTAAGATGTATTGATTACCACGAGACAATGGGAATGGTCCCATAAAGTCTATCCCCCAGACGTCAAAGATTTCCACCTACAATATAATGCTTAATGGCATCTCATGCCTTCTCAAAATGGTGCCTATCCTCTGACACTGATCACAACCCATCACAAACATAGCAACATCTTTAAAAAGAGTAGGCCAAAAGAAGCGAGATTGTAATACCTTATGTGAGTTCATTCTCCCCCGTGGTTCCACTATATGGTGATGAGTGACAAATCTCCAACACTTGTGTCGTCTCCTGTTCAGCTATACACCTTCTCTTCATTTGATCAGGTCCCTACTTGAATAAGAAGGGCTCATCCCATACATAAAAGTGTGCATCATACTTCAGCATCTGCTTTTGATGTGCTGAGGCTCCAGGTGGAAATAAACCACTCACCAGAAAATTTACAATATCAGCATACTAAGGAACCTGAGCAAGGTCCAAAGCAAGAAATTGCTCATCAGGAAACTCTTCACAAATTTGCCCCTCATTTTTCACATGAGATGAATCCTCCAATCTGGACAGATGATCAGCTATCCGATTCCCAGTTCCCTTCCTATCTCTTATCTCTAAACAAACTCTTGTAGTAGCAGAATCCACCTAATCAGCCTCGACTTAGCATCCTTTTTATTAAACAAGTACCGGATTGCAGCATGATCAGTGCAGACTATAACTTTGGTTCCCACAAAGTATGCTCTGAACTAATCAAATACGAACACTAATTCCAGCATCTCTTTATCAGTAATAATATAATTTGATTGGGCTGCATCAAGTGTCTTGCTTGCATAGTAGATGGAATGAAACATCTTATCTTTTCGCTGCCCAAGCACTGCCCCAACCACTATATCACTAGCATCGCACATAAGCTCAAATGGAAGCTCCCAGTTTGGAGCAATCAGAATAAGAGCTTCTATCAACTTCTTCTTTAGCAACTTAAATGCCTGCAATCACTTCTCATCAAAGACAAACTTCATCTCTTTCTCTCACAAGCTGCACATGGGTCTTGCAGTCTTAGAGAAGTCCTTGATGAACCTCCTATCAGCATGGTCTAAAAAGCTTCTCACTCCCTATATTGTAATTGGGGGTGGCAACTTCTCAATCACCTCCACTTTAGCTTTGTCAACCTCCAGCCCATTCTTGGAGATCTTGTGCCCCAACACAATTCCCTCTCGAACTAGAAAGTGACACTTCTCCCTGTTCAACACCAGATTTGTTTCTTCACACCTAGCAAGAACTCTATCAAGATTATTCAAACAAAGTTCAAAAGACTCACCAAACACTAAGAAGTCATCCATGAACACTTCAACAAAATCCTCCACCATATCATGGAAGATTGCCATCATGCATCTCTGAAATGTTGACAGTGCATTGCATAAGCCGAATGGCATGCGCTTGAACGCATACGTTCCATACAGACAAGTGAATGTAGTCTTCTCTTGGTCCTCTGGTGCAATAATAATCTGATTGTAGCTTGAGTAGCCATCAATGAAACAATAATATTCCTGACCTGTCAATCTATCCAACATCTGATCAATGAAAGGTACCGAGTAATAGTCCTTCCTAGTGGCATCATTTAACTTCATGTAGTCCATGCAGATACGCCACTTAGTCACTGTTCTTGTGGGGATCAACTCATTCTTCTCATTTGTCACCACAATCATTCCACATCTTTGGGCACATACTGTACTAAACTCACCTATTTACTATCTAATATTGGGTACACGATCCCTGTATCCAACCACTTGATCACCTTTTTTTCTCACCACATCCTTCATCAATGGGTTTAGTCTCCACTAATGTTGTGCACTCGTCTTATGCCCTTCCTCTATATAGATTTTATGCATGCACAACGCAAGACTAATTCTATGGATGTCGGATATTTGCCACCCCAAAGTTTCTTTTCTCTTCGTCAGAGTGATTAATGTTGCTTCCACTTGTGCTTAAGACAATGTTGCAGATAAAATAACCGGTAAAGTTTTATCTTCACCCAAAAATGCATACATGAAGTGGGCTGGGAATGCTTTTAACTCCAACTGAGGTGCTTCTTTAATGGAGGGCTTGGGTGGAAGACCCAACAACTTATTCAACGGCTTCCAACGATCTCTGGATGTACCTACAAGTGCCACATCAAGATATTGCACCATTTCCTGTGCCTCAGCATCCCCATATATATCATCTCCCACCAACACTCGCTCTAAAGGGTCCTTAGATGCAATGTAATGAGCCTCTGCCTCAAGATCTATCACAGTCATGGTAGACAACTCCTCATAAACAGCTGGCAGCATTAATGCCTTGTACATGTCGAACACCTCCACTTTATCAAGTGCCTGCATAGTAAGTTGCCCAGCTGCTACATCTATTATAGCCCGCCCAGTAGCCAAGAAAGGTCTTCCTAAGATGAATGGGACCTCAGGATCTAGTTCAAAATTCAACACCACAAAGTCTACTAGGAATATCAATGATCCCACTTGCACTAACACATCCTCTACAATACCCTCAGACCTAGCAATAGATCTATCAGCCAACTATAAGATGATGGTAGTAGGTTTAATACTACCCAATCCCAGCTTTTTGTACAAAGAAGTTGGCATCAAATTGATACTAGCACCTAGATCACAAATCCTCGCGCATGAATGCTCTGCTCTATAGTGATCTGAACCGTAAAGCTACCCAAATCTTTCAGTTTAGTGGGCAACTTATTTTGGATTCTGGAGCTGCACTCTTCAGTAAGTTCAATAGTCTCGTATTCAGTCAGCCTCCTTTTGTTCACCATAATTTCCTTCACATATTTGGCATACCTGGGTATACCCTGCAAAACATCTACCAATGGCAAGTTAATGTGAACTTGTTTCAAAAGAGAGAGAAACTTACCAAAGCATTCATCCTCCTTCTGTTTCTTGAACTTTTGAGGGAATGGAGGAGGTGGTTTCACTATTGGTTGCACTCTTTCTTCTTGTGCAACAACTTCGCCGTCCTTGGGTTCACTCTCTTTCATCACAGCTTCAGTGTTCCTTTTCTTAGGAGCTAACTCCTCCAATTGCAAACCACTACAAGTACCTACCGCATTTACTTGCTTGGGATTTGGATCAGTGTTTCTCGGTAAACCTCCTTGCGGTCTTGAGTTCTAGGCACTAGCAAACTGCTTGAATTGCTTTTCCAGATTCTGTGTAGCCAACTGATTATTTCTCACATCAGCAGCTAACTGGGCTTGATCAACGACGATCTTTTTCAGCATCTCTTTCTTGCTCATGTTACCAGACTACTTATTAGGCTGCTCCCGTTGGGCCTATGGTTGGTACCCTTGTGCATTTCCTTGGGGTCTATACTGATTTTGGCCTTGATCCTGATTTTGATTTCCATCCCAAGAAATATTTGGATAGTTGCACCAACTTGGGTTGTATGAGTTTCCATAATTCTGTTGGCCTCATCCTCGTTGTGCATTGCCTACAAAATTGATAGAATTCGGGTTTGCACCACATACCTCTGCACTATGATCCCCACCTCCGCAGATCTTACACCAATTTGGTGGTTGTTGAACTGAATTTACATGTGCGGGCTGTTGTTCCAATGCTAGATTGCTGAAGTGGGTGTTCATCATATTCTGCATTGCAACAATCTGTGCAGTTAAAGCAGTCACTGCATCTACTTCTAGCATACCTGCAGTTTTTTGTATCACAAATTTCACCTCTCCTCCGTTCCATTCGGGGTTTCCCTGCGAGATCATGTTCAGCAAGGTGAATAACTCAGCATATGTCTTTTCCAAAGCCTGACCACCTGCAGCTGAATTAAGTAGAATTTTGGTGTTAGGCTCTAATGCCTCAATGAAGGTATGGACTAACACCTCATTAGATTAATGATGATGTGGGTAGCTCATCAACAACGATTTAAGCCTGTCCCAAGCTTGGTACAAGTTCTCTCCTCCTTTCTGTCTAAAACTCAGGATGTCGCTCCTCAACTTAGCTATTTTCTCAGATGGAAAAAATCTGATGAGGAACTTCTGTGCAAGATCATCCCAAGTGATAATAAAGTTCGTGGGATCGGAATTTAACCATCTTCTTGCTTCCCCAAGCAGAGAAAAGGGGAATAAAGTGAGCCTCACATAATCCTCGTTCACTCTAGTTGGAGTGTAAGTATTACTGATCTCGAGGAAGTTTTGGATGTGGACTCTTGGATCCTTGTGCGGTAGACCAGTGAACTACCCATTGGTGTGCAATAGTTGCACCATACTGTGCTTCAGTTCAAACTTTCCACCAACTGCAGGTTTCTGAATGCATGATATCACATTGGTGGTACGTGGGATTGCCACATCTCTTACCTTCATCTCATTCATTATTTCTGGTTCTTCTTGCTCAACTCTTGCTACTGGAGATGTTGGTTCACTAGCAAGAGGGACCGGATAAGTAAGTCGTATTAGCCTTCTTCAGTAATGAACAAATCTTTCCGATTCCGCTAGAGGTGATACTAATCCTTGATCGTCGTCCAGTTTGAAGTCCCAATACAACCTGCAACAATGAAATGCTAAGATCAAGTTGTCAACACTTGCTTTTTAACTTTAGAAATCAGAAAAATCAGATAATTCCTAATTCTAAAGTCCCCGGCAGCAGCGCCAAAACCTTGTTGTGCCCAAATCGCACACGCAAGTGCACATGGTCCTTCAAGTATTAAAGTGGCTCTTACAAAGAGCCGGGTATCGTACCCATAGGGACTTACGGTTATAATCACTTAATTTTTTCATCTTTCAGCTATGCACAAGTGTTATCAAGATTTCAAAGTGATTTATTTTTTTCTAATTCTAAGAGTTCAACAAAATGTAACAAACGTCATCCAATTTCAAGGGTCTAAAAACAATGATTGGGTAAGCTCCAGGGCTGCAGCTTTTATCAGGATTCATGCAATTAATATCATTTAAATGGGTATATATCAACTATCAAATCAATGAATCACAGGGTTAAATGTATGATCATGGTCTCCCAACCTCTAATTGCCTACGATAAATAACAATCTAACTACATCATTGAGCGGGGATATACTGGATTAAGTACCGAGCATTACGATATCTTCATGTACAGTGACCAAGCATGGTTTCTAGGTAAGAATTAATCATGCTCCTTATACCCCACGTTCTATCCTCTTATTCCTCTCTCGAGTTCAATTTGGACAATATATTTATTTCAATGGTGATCAATCACGAAATACGGAAAGCAAGAACATAAGAAAGATTCATATGATAATTGACATTAACCCAATGAAAACTTAATAAATTACAATCATTTTGTAGCCACATCCCTAGAACTAGGGTATTTAGCTACTCATAATCAAAGATTCGATCAAACAATGTTGAATAAATATAAAGAGATCGAAAGTAAAAGAATTTAGGAAAGAACCCTAAAAATGGTGAAAACGTTCTCCCAAGTCGTCGTTCTTCAAAACTCAGAAAAAGAATATATAATAAAATAAAATATTTGACTATTTATACTAAAAGTCAAAACGGCCAAAACTGGGGACAAGGGACGCGACGCGGAGGCATCTTTAAATTCCCATTCACATATAATTGCTCATCTCCGCGACGCGGGCACTCCACGGAGTGCTCTGCCTCAAAGTCGCTTGTCGCTAATTAATATATAATCCCTCTCCACGACGCGGAGACATATCTATAATTTGATTTGCGAGAAAATGCACTCCTCCGCGACGCGGCTACTACACGAAGGGCCCTGCCTCTATTTGCCTTTTCACGAGCCAAACTAAAATTCCTCTCCGTCTCGCGGAGAAGATACGGATATGTCTTAAATAACATTTCTTCAATCTTTTTTCTTGCTTCCTTTCGACTAGGATCTTTTGTGTTCCCCATTGTCCATTTTCGAGCTCATTTCTCCAATTAAGCTCACCTACACAACTAATCATGTTGGTTAGCTCATAAACAACCAAAAGAATCGATAAGACTATAAACGAACACATATTGAATTCAAACTTAGCTTAAATATGGGCATTATTAGATTTCTAGGCATATAAATATGCCTAAGATCAAAAACTTGACCTCTACTAACGGGAGAGCTTCCATGGGAAACCCAACCTCTACTAATGGAAGAGCTTCCATCTCATATCAGTATCCACTCGGTGCTAAGCATTGATTCCCACAGAGTTCATATTAAGTCTTGACTTAATTCATAATCATGGAAGGAATGTCTTGACACTCAATCCAACATAATTCATACAATAGATCCTAGATTCAAATTGGTGAGAATAGCCTTTCAACCTTAAGATCATCATATTGTGAGAAAACATTTCACATCATATCATATTCATGCATAGGTGTGTGTGTGAGGATAACCCTTCTAACAACACAACAACAAGATCATAATCGTAAACACTTTACTCTCAAAGTGTTCTTAAAGCATAAACATAAATCTCATTATCATTCATAATTATCATGCCTTGCTCTTTAAGGATTCAAGATCATATTCACTCAACACATCTAGAATTCACTACATTAGACATGGAGATAATCATAATTCAAGTAGTTGAATTACTACATGCATAATTCTATAATATTCCCCTTTGAGATCATAACTGGAAAAAATAGGGGATTTCATCATAAAACCATAAGAAATCATCAATTTATACATAATATATCATAATTCAATCATTATAAATGAATTTTAAAGGAATCCATGAGTTTGGAGTCTAACCCTAACGTTTGGGGTAGTTACTAGTTTTGATATTGAAGTTTGAAGGGACTCCATGGATGAAAGCTATCCATGGATGAAGATCTACCATACCTTAGCTAGGAATCCCCATGAAATTGAGAATAAAAACCTTGCTCTATGAAACCCTAGGCTCCAACTTTCTTCTTCTTCTTCCTTGAGTTCTAGAGAGAATTTTTGGAGAGGATGAGTTCTTTTGGGATTATAGAAAAATGATTTTGATGAATTAGTTTAATGGTCTACAAACCTTATATAGGTGTTTAAAAATAGGCTAAAATGACATCACTTAATACTAAAACCAGAAAACCCCAAGGACTCGTGGTTGGTCCTTGGGGAGTCGTACCTTGACGTTTTAACCCGAAACCCTTCATTCTAAGTACGAGAAGTTAAATTCACGACTATAACCTTCACGTCAAGCTCTAGGTTAGCCTACTAGTTTCCAGGGTGTTACACTTGGTTGGTCCTTGGGGGGTCGTACCTTGACGTTCTAATACTAAACCCTTCATTTTAAATTTAAGGAGTTATATTTAAGACTCTAACCCCAATGTCAAGCTCTAGTTTAGCCTACTAGTTTCTGGGGTGTTACAGTATTCACTGATAAGTCGAATGTGTAAGATCTTTGTATGACATAAAATGGACTGATAGGATAACATGACTTAAGCAAAAACATGAACCATATACATTGATAATTGTTAGTGAAACAATGTTCTATGTGTGCTTGAAGGATTTGTTCATTCATTCAATATATGCTAATCTAGAACATGCCCGTTAGTCTTGCTAGGAAAATTGAACTGTTATTTAGGAAAAAATCAAAGGCCATTGTTGAAATTAAGTCCATTGAGTCTAAAAACGACCAACTAAATGAAAATTGCCCCTTCGATCCAAATTGTTGAACCTTGAATAAACCATTCTTTTTTTGTTTACCAAATTCACCTTCCCCCGTTCGTGAATGTTAACCTTTATTTGGCCCTGGTCCCTCCTTGAACATTATGCACCTCAACTCAGGCTAAACCTAAATTGAGGGTGGCTACTATAGAGGAAAAAGAGAAAACAAAAGGGGTATGAAAAGAGTTAGTAATAAGAAAAGAGGAAAAAAGGAAAAAAAAGATTGGTGTGGCAGTGAAAAATGCATGAAGAGTAGAAGAAAATATTGAAACAAGAAAGAAAAGAAATCCTAACTCGAGCTTTAATAAAAATATTAGGAGAAAAAAAATAGAGTGAAACAAATATTGGTTCTAAAGAGGAAAAGTAGCCAATGTAATGTCAGGGAGGGAAGAAAAGTCACTTTAAATCTAAATATACCACACCTCACCCTGAGCCTATGTTACACGCTAAGAAAGTCCTGTAGTGATCATAAGTTAATGGTTCAAGAGTCTATGTAGTTACTATAAGGGCAAGCCTATGATATTGTGCATGTATTGTATTGAATTTGGTTGTGAGAGTGGGCATATATTGAGTCCTTGTACTTGAAATACATATTGATATCTGTGTGAAAAATGGCACAAGTTCATTGTCAAAAAGTTGGTATCTTGGTGATTGTTATATGTGT